TTGCTTTCAATGCAAGTTTGCTTTCATGGGGAAAAGAAAATTGACTAGGCTGTTAAAATGCAAAGTGTCTGAGGATTAGGTGAAGTGTCCCTCTACTGCTTTATCTTTGTTAGAGTAGGCCCCGATGCTGTGTTTCAGAGAAAATGAGTTCCAGACTAAAGGAGACTCATATCCATTAAGTGTAGATGACAATAGTTTGATTGGGAGTTTCAAGATTAGTGTCTTATGCACTGCTTTTCATGAGCTTTTCCAAGGTCAAAGGCCCTAGGTTTAGAAAATTGCTCAGATTTGCAGCCAATGATAAAACTAGGGCCCTGCTTGGTTATGCTGCAGCTATATCTGAATTTGTCTTTGGACAGTAAACAAAAATGCTGACATTTAAAAATGTACCATTTATTTTAATATTTCACATTAATGTGATGCTACTGTAAAAAGTACTGTGTATATTTACACACTGTAAGTATGTATACACATATTTTATGTATAGTGATAGAGGGAATTTTCCAATGTAGGAAAGCAGAATTTGGTTCTTTAGATAGATGGAGACACAGTACAAAAACAGAAAAGAGTGGAGCTAATTAGAACAGTCTTTAATGTTGACCTCAAAGGTGCAATGTTTTCTGTCCAAAAACAGAATTTGTCAAAATTCCTCTTTCCATTTCTAAGTCAGTACAGCTATCACGCTTCCAGCAGTTTTCAAAACAAAATGAGCAATTGTTAATTAAAAATAAATACATCCAAAAGCAAAGACAGTCTTATCTGATTTCCAGCAGAAAGAAATATAAGTGTCCATTGTATTTTATATTAGCCTTGAGAGCCAGTTTTATAGTCCTTTCCCAAAGTGGCATACTTTAACAGCTTTCGAAAGTGTAGTTCCTTCCAGTCTAAGTTTCTCTGTGCACCCAGGACCCAGGTTTTGCATGGACATTGACATTGAATTATTGCCCATCAAAAAATCATGGCAACACACACCCTTCCTATTATGTCTTCGAAATGATTAGGGTATTTTTCACTGCTACCGTGTAGCTTTTCTGAGCAACTTTCCTTAGATGGTCTTCCACATTTAAGTCTTTAATTACTAGCGGTTTTGTGACACCACGTGCTTGAAGGTTAGGGGGCACCGTTCATCTTGTGCACTTGGATGTAGCTATAGTAACTAGTGTAAGTATAATGTTAAAGGTCTTAAGGGTCTGCTAACATCTTCAATGTTGTCGCCCTAACACTGTCTGGAAGAAATTCAAATGGGAGTTGTATTAGCATATATTGGCTTCTCAGGCACAAGTAAAGGTTAATTTAAAGTAAAAGAAAAATGAAACACAGCATTTTGTGTGTTTCATATTGCTTAAACAGCCTGCCCTACCACTATGCCTCAAGAAATCACGCTAGCATAAGATTGTTGTAGATCACAGAAAAATGCTTTTCACTTGTTCCCCTAATAGTAACTTATTCACTTTGATTTCCGTCTTGTTGTGCCACATTAGCCTGGATCCACTTCCTGAATCTTCTTCATCTTCAGTTCTTTACGTAACCATAGCACCATTCTCCACCTAGTAAGATATACCCAAGCAAGAGTTAAGTATGTGGGTCTCTAAATAGGTAGAATCACATTAGGAAATTTAATTAATGGAAGACTCTAGATCAGCCAGATTAATTTAACCAGAATGGGTCTCCTTCAACACAGTGTCCCTAGTTACCCTACTGTGGAATTGATTTTGAAATTTGACTATTCCAAACTGGCTTTGGTTAAGAAGAGTGCCACCAGTTGTCCACAAACAGTAACCTGGTTTGTTACAGTCAGTCATTATCCAGTGGAATATAAGGTGTTTTATCATACATATTTCTGAGCAATTCACACATTATTTACATATGTTAAGCTTAGCTTTTTTCTCATCTATAATATCTTACTGCGGTTGAGAATGTTTACTTTTCATTACAGAACTGAACCACACTACAAAGACCTTCTTCCCCAAAGAATATTTGTCCCGGAAACAGAACTTCCAGAAAGCAAGTTGTGCAAAGTGGCCTCTTCCCAGCTGCAGAAAATTGTTCCGCATCTTTGGAGGTAGATACTCAATTTTCTTATTGCTTCAAATGGTTTTCACATTTGTGTTGTCCTGAAATGATAGATCTTGTCCAAAGTATTTTCCATGCAACATAGTGACATTTGTATTTTAAATGCTTATACCATAAATCCTGGGACTTATCAGAATAAGTAGTTTACTGATCCTGAATATAGAGTTATAAAAGAGTGACCTACTGACCTACCTACTTTTAGTGACCTACTGTCTCCTTTAGAAAATATTGCTTACTTTAATTTACATTTCCAACAAGTAGTTTGTAGCTTAAAAAGTCGATATCATACCATTTTGTGTTATGTGAAGTTTTTCTTTAGGTTGTAAGAACTTTGATTACAAAACGTAATGTTTGTAAATCATGGAAAACAAACATTATACACCTGAGAAAAAGAACATGATATGATACTGTATATTTGCTTTTTTTTCAATTTTAGAATAGAGAATGTATAAATATGAATTACCAGAATTTTTATATAAAGGTAGGTTAAATCTACTACTTTTCAGTGTAGAATTAATATTTTGTTCTTTATACATTTGGAATTTCTATTTTAGAGTTAAATCTCTTCAAAGCCTTTAATCAGATTATTTTAAAAAAAAATCATCTACTAATTCTTAGTCATTAATAGTTTTTTTTAACAATACAAGTAAAGATAGCAGTACCCACCAAATGTCTGCTTATGTTCTGGTTCTTCTAAAAATCCAAATAAAGAAGTTGCTTAAGTATAATGTGTCATTTTTGCCCTAAAGAAAACAGATGTTCATTTTTGTTAGTTGTACAGTAGTTAATTTATAATGGACTTTTTGAATATATAAAATGTTTCTGAATAAATGTTCTAAGGCAGAACAAAAAAATATAATGAATGTTGCATGGGAGTCAAAGCATAAAGAATTTATACTTAATTATTCTTTTCCCCTTTGCTTTGAAAAAACAAAAGACCTGGAGATCAAAGGATTGAACAAGTAGAACAAGCTCCCTTTTACTTCATAGAGCAAGGCATAAGTGTATTTCTGCTTCATCGTGGAAAAACACTTTGTGGTTACTATAGTCAAGTATGATTTGTTTGTAAAGTAAAGTATCTTACATTATTTTTTTCCTTTAACATGATCTATGACCATGTACTGTAGCTCTTATTAATATTCCTTCCTGTTAAAGAAATCAAGAATTAACAGAATAAACCAAATAAATACATACAAGTGAACTTGATCTTCTCATCATAGTTTTGATGCCAGTGCAAATTTGTGATCAGATTGAAATTTTGATAATGCCATATTTCAGGATTTTGTATTTACAGTCTCCATTTTAAAAGATGATGCAAAAGATCAGGTAGTTATTGGTTATAAGTATGTTCAAGAAATAGGTCTAGGAGTAGCTCCAGAAACAACTTTTTTCTTGCTCTATTGTTTCTTCTTTGTGTATGAGGCTCTGTGTTGTGTTATCTTTCCCTTCTATGTTTGTGTACTATTTAAAGCATTGACAAGAAACGTGAAATTATTCAAGTTCCCTCCATAATATAATTAAAAAATTAACATCCTGTCTTTGTATTGTGATTTTCAGGTAATGCTCTTTTGTTGCGTTACAAAATACAACATTTCCACAAATGCTTTTACGATGTGTGTTTACGTTATGTTTTGCCCTTGTTTTGTGTTTTCCCTTGCACTCATTTAGAATATGAAAGCATTACAAGAAATTAAGAGGCTATCATTTGATTTTGTGTCTAAACATTTCTTCATGGATCTGTGGCTACACTGTATTTTTAACAATCTGCAGAAATCTTTCCTCCAGGGCAATGGTGATCATTCAACTGGAGAAATACCTACTTGGCAAGCTAATCAAAATCAGTTCTTATCATGGATCTGCACAAAGCCACTAATGGTTTTACTCTTTCGATTAACATGATACCATTAGCCTGTAAACCTTTCAGCATTTTTCATTTTGGCATTTGGATTAGAGCTTCAGTATACATACACCCAAGCCTGAATTATGTGTTTGAAAAGGTACATTTACATCAGCATTAATTCTCATAAATGGTAATATATCTACAGTAAATGCAGTGTTTGTATGTGTATATAGGAGTGTATGCACATAAGCACAGCTATTTCTGAACCCCTTAAAAACATTTTAATATTGTCAAATGCTATAAAAGGCTTCAAAAACGTACTTTCTTTATACTGTATATGCTTTGATAGGTATAATTCTTCAAAATTTAATTAACTTTACACAGATATCTGACTACTTACAGTAATCTGCCTTTACGTTGTGTGCAGCTTAAGTCTTAGTTCCACATTGCCTTGGTTGTGTATTTTCTAATGTGTCCATTGTCTGGCATAATTTCCACTGTGTGATAACGGTTTAACCCTTTCAGTCTTAGCTGAAAGTTGTTTTAGTGATGTGAAAAGCAAGCCAGCGCTAGGATTTAAAGTATGTGCAGCTGTTGATTGAATACTTTTTGCAAGGCTCTTTGCTTGAGTTTTATTATTGAAATACTGTAGCAGTCATTGTGGGGAGTTCATTGTGCATGACTGTGTTATCATTACTAATTTTTGGTCCTTTCAATAAATACGTTACATGCTGTGTCCAGTGTGAACAAACACGTTTTGTTTGAAAGCTTGGGTGGGGTACCCTAGTTCAGAAGTACAGGAGGTACTGTATAGATTGTGTAGCATCTTATATATAACTATTTAATAATGGATTTATTTTTATAACTACAGTAGCATTCTGCACATGGCTGTCACCCTGTCAACAGACACTCAAACACTCATTATTTATGTATGTTATCAGACTCTCTAATACAGACCTTTCTTTTTTTCTTAGATTTACATTTCTAAGAATGTACCATTCATTTTAATAGTGGCTCACCATTATTCCTGCCAAGGACAGACTTATTCGTCATATAATCTTCCTCTATAAACATTTCATGTGTTTTGAGTGAGTTCAGATCAACATACATTGACATGATTTAGCTACAGACACGCATATTATTGCTACAATTAGTAGTAGTTCCAAACTCTTTTTAAAATAGTAAATATGTCATTATCAAGAGCTTTCTTTCAGATGAGAGGTATTTATTACTTTTTTTAATAAAAGATGACAGTGGTATCTAGAGAGGTTTTTTTTAGAAGACTCGCAGCTAACAAAAACATAATGAAACGAGCATTTATCAGCATCAGACAAGATGCTGACATTGGAAAGTGCTTCCTTTAGCAAACAGAATCATCACTGAATACCATTACTGATTCTTTTTGCAAATCCAAGCTATTTTCAGTGTCATAGTGTTATTTCTTGACGCTGATTCAAAATTGTTTGAATCATCATTCCCTGTCTGTATTGTAACTGAGGACAATGCAACAGTAATTAGCAATTTTATTTAACCCAACATCAATTGTAACATTTGGACCACAGGGCTCAACCACTATTCCTGGCTAAGAAATTTGGGAGCCCCTGTTAACAGTTGTTTCACAAATAGCCAATGTGCAGTAATTGATTGAATAATTGTGTTTTTGCAGTTTTGTTAAATCTACAAATGTTTAACTATTGTTATCTAGACCCAAAGCTCTGCTTATATTATTTCAAGGGGATCCAGTTTGTTACATTTGTGCTAATAACAGCAAAAATATATAAAACACTCATACCTTAGTCCTTCCTTCCAATTAGTAAAACAGGCTCTCAGTCAAAGGGCTGTAAGACTAACAAGGTTCAGATCAACCCATCTGGTACTATTGGCCTACCTAACCAATTAGTGTGCAGAGTGACTGAGGTTCCACAGCGGTAGGAACCTCATTCACACAAGACTGCTTTATTTACAGTATGTAGTGTCTTACAAATTTAAATTACTATTTTCATCTGCATTTAATACAGTCTTACTTTGCCCTATGCTATACTGTAAGCCCCTGTTTTAGTTTGTGTATAATAATGCAGTGGAACAACACAGTCTGTCTCTGAATTCTTTTAATGGGATGGCTTTTACCGAGTGTGTTATGTAGTTTCCAGTTCTGCATGTATTAAAGGACTGGTTTCCTTGCAGGGCTCCGAAGACAAACCAGTCCCATTGCCAGAAGACAGTTCCCACATGGTGGGTACAGGTTGGACACTATGGACTATGAAGATGACTCTCGGGGGTGGAGATTTGACATGGACATGGTGATCATCTACATCTACTCTGTCAACTGGGTGATTGGATTCATCATATTCTGTTTACTCTGCTACTTTTTCTTCCCATCATTTTAAGACTATACATCAGTGATTATACAAAAATACATATTTTATATGACTGAATAAACTGTAATGGTCTTTAGGTAACGTATGTAGGTTTTTTAAGGTGGATTACACATCATCACCATTTGTTTGCATTCATCATTTTGCAAGACATTTGGGCAGTATTCAGTAGCGCAGGAGTTATTATTTCCTAGCAGAACAATCAGCATTATGAGAAAGTTTTCATTTATCCGATATGAAAATGATAATACAGAAACACACTTAATCAACTAGTTTCTGTGGTCTATGGTAAAGCAGTTAAAATTTGTATTTCTGGATAAAATTCATGCTTCAAACCCGTAGCTCTTCTGGTTTGTAGCTGTGATAATCATAGTTATAAGAACAGTTACAAATGAGATGAGGTAATGCGGCCTAGCCTAATCTAGCCTCTTTTTTTTAATAACTAATTGATCAAAGAATCTTAGCCACTTTCTAAAAAGAATCCAGGGTATGAGCTTCAACAGCACGGCTGGGAAACTTGTTCCATTTTCCCTACTTTTTGAAGTAATTCTAAATATTCAGGGTAAAGAGGGCAAGAGACATTTCTGATGAAACCGTGTTATGTTTTTAGATTTTTCCTTTATATGAAGTACAAAAGGGGTTAAACTGATTATGTGGCTTGCACACTTTTTGTTATATTATAAAAATGTTTTTATAGCTACTGAAACAAAAACTTTGAGAATTCTCCTATATTGACAGAGTAGTGCTCATACTGTACTGTACACTGTAGATTGATAATTTATGCAGATCTAAGAAGAAAACATAATTTAAAGTGTCTGTATTTGCTCTTGTTTATTTCAAACATCAGCAGGGTTGATGATAATAGGTAATAATAATAATAATAATAATAATAATAATAATATCATCACTTTATTAACCCTTTACAATTTCTTACATTAGGAATTATCTTTTTGCATATCCCAGCTTGCTCTCCATGAGACACACAGACAGGGAGAGAGCCTGGGGTCAGAGCGCAGGGTCTGCCATTGTACAGCACCCCTGGAGCAGTTGGGGTTAAGGGCCTTGCTCAGGAGCCCAACATTCCTCTGCCAGCTGCGGGATTTGAACTGGCAACCTTCTAGCCACAGGCGCAGATCCTTAGCCACAGAGCCACCGCTCCATCCAAAAAAGAGAAAGCTTTAAGAGATGTACAGTATAGGTGATCAGTGCTGCTGTGCAATTGCGCTTACCCAGTTCCTCTTTTTTCATGAAAAGTTTACAAATATGAAGACAACAGTGTTGCTGTATTCAAAACTTAGACCGGTATCTAAAAAGTAGTGAGCAGCAAGACAAAATAACAAGAGTGTATTTTCTGTGTTTGGTAGCTGTTGACCTTTTATAATTATCTTGTTTAAAGATGGTGTGAGTTAGCCACCATATCAAGTTTAACTTTATTTGAATTATTTAAAATACCCACACATATATTATTATGTTACAGAGAGGATATTAATTGCATGTAGTCTCTAAAAAATGTTGGCATTTTTATTTTTCATGGCTTGAAAACTATTGGGTGTACTGTATATAGGCTTATTTAGGATAAGTGCGCACTGCAGTTTTATAAATAGTATTTGCAGAGTAATTTCAGAATATATAATTCAGAATAGTTCAGAATATATAATGCGTTGTAAAAGTATTCACACCCTTGCACAGTTTTCACATTTTGTTGCTTTAAAGCTTGTAGTCATAAAAAACCTACTCCACCAGTTCAAAGCTAAGAAGACAGAGGGTAATTGATATTGACAATTGATAAATTGCATACATATTCAAACACTTGCTGTGGCAAACTTAAATTAATGTAAGTCAACAAAATTACCCTTATAAGCCACAAAATTAGTTGAGTGGCCTATGACGGAATACAATAATAATGGTTTCAATGAATTATTTTAACAATAAATACACCTGTCTCTCTAAGGTCCCTCAGTCAGTGAATTGTGAGTAAACATTCAACAACTGAGACCAAGGAGATTTCAAAACAGCACAGCAATAAAGTTATAAAGCAATAAAGAAATAAGTCTTAAAAAACAGATACAATAATAATTAAATGTATCTTACAAATAAAATGTACATACTGTATTGTTTGTCCATTAAACTATATAAACTTGTACATATATAAAATACTATTTTAATTCACCTGGTGCACATTTTTAACACATTGCAATTGGTGTTCACAGATTGGGCAATATTTCAATTTTAGGAGTTGTGGTACAGTAGTTCTGTTTGCAATATGTTTACATTACTTTACACAAAGACTGAAGCACATCAGGAGACTGAATGTACAGTAACATTCAGTACATTAATGAAAAAAAAAATTATTGTATTTTAGGAGTTGTAGAATTGTATTTAAATACAGAATATTTGTTTAAACGTATGTTTCTGATTTGTATTTTTGGAAAATCTTCAAAAAATATAGATCTGGTAAAAAGTTCTAGTTGTATACGAAAAAAGAAACAAAAAACAGTCACACATGGTGAGTTCTGCCATTAAATTACAGCTGGCCATGGTTTGGGTCCATTTTTCCATCAGCATTTCTACGGTCACAGCATAACAAAATTAATTATGAAGAGCTGCTACTGGCAGCTGAAATGTTCCCTTTTCTTAGCAAATAAATCAAATCTTTCCAAGCCTCTGGAGGACATTTACCAGACCAATAAAACTGAACTTCCATGCATTATTTTCTCAAATCTGTCTTGTTTATATATTATTTACTGTACATATTGATGAGAAGTACAATACATTGCAAAAAATTAGTACAGTCTTTCTGTCTACAAAAAACAAATTGTACATGTTAGTATACATGTAGCCATGTTTTTTATCAGCACGAATCATAATGTACTTAAACACGTTTGTCATATTACTAAAGTGTAAGACATTATTTCATAGTTCTGATATGAAATTTTAACATTAATCTATAAAGTGATTATACAGAGATATTACAAAGCACTGTACACTGTACATTGATAATGCTTTGTGTAAATTAAATGCAAAGAGTAATTCCTTTGTATGTAAGAGTTCTGCAGTGTTATAAAGACTGTTCTATCCCCCGGAGTGCGTAGATTCAGGAGGTGCTCCCTAAATTGTTAGATACATGATAAATCCTGCCTTCAACACCTGGCACAAATGCTACTGACATCTCCTCATTTGTGATTTCTTCAAAGGCTGAAAAATAATTGGTCGGTAAGATTATTATCAATGAAATAGTTATGGATTGTACAGCACAATTACAGTATTTGCATTCGTTATCTGATACTTATTGATATTTACCTCTGGAGTACAGGTTTTGACATTTAGTGTATACAAACAAAACAAGAATATTATAATTTTGTTCTTATGAGCCTTGTTAGATTTCATGACATAGTGGTCTACCATACGTTCTCAGGACTCACCCTTACCTGTGACTGAAGGAGTAGACGATGCTCTGATTAAGCCCATGCGGTGGCCAGATTTGCAAATTTTGAGGCCTTGAACAATCTTTGCCGACTCAAAATGGTTTATTAGAATAGTAGACAGAATCTGTGCATTTTCAATGTCAAACATCCAGCGGCAATTTAAGAATACAGCATAACCATCCTTTCCCTAAAATAAGTACAATTTAGAAGTATTTTGAATTGTTTATGGATCCTAAATATTTTAAAATAACATTTTATTGTTGTATTGTAACATTATTAGTCATGTTATAACACTAATCCATTTAAAAATATACTGTATTCACCACTTACCAAAAAAAACATAAATTCTAAATAATATATTAATTTTTTTTAAAAAGGTTTTCAAATTTACTTTTTATTCAAAACTATAATTTTCCAACGCATCTTGTTAAAAGTGAAGATTAAAGATTAGAAGTAATGCTCTTTTCATACTCTTTCTTAATTTCACAATTGTGACATTTAAACCACAGGAATTAAAAAAGCCTATAATAATGGAAAGTCCCTATATGAATATATGAGGTTAAAAGAAGTATTATCATGACTTACAGTTACCAACCCTACAGATATGAGATGGAGAGAATATGATAATGTGTGGCTGTATATACAGTACATTATGTGGTAACTTTCCCTTTGGGACGCAGAATTATGTCTGTTTTAACTTACTGATAATCTTAACAGGGATTGTGGAGATGTTTTCATAGTTTCCAACATTCCAAATAACCATGGTTATGCAAGTACAATTTTGAATTCACAATTAATTCTAATATGGAAGTCAGAAACAAGCTAACCAGTCATTGTTGAATGCCAATATCCTTGCTTCTTTCAAGAAACATCTGGATGATATCTCAGAGCTATTGGAATTAACTTCCAAATGGGCTAGATGGGTTGAGTAGCTTCCTCTCATTAGCAACCTTTCTTTTGTTCTTACAGTACACTGAAACCTGTTCTCGCAGAATCATTCCAGGTCTATGGAATCTAAAGTAAAGACACTTACCTTTGCCAAGTATTCCTTTATAGCAGTTAAATATGTTTTGCTTTTTTCCAAGTTTTGACCTTGAACATTTACAGTCTCAAAAACAATTCTATGTCCTGGTTCTGCATTTGGATCAAAGCCAAATTCAATTCCTGCAACTTGAGGAAACCTGAAGGTACGACAAGTGCTCAAAATAGTATTATGAAAATATGTTCATGCGTACTAGAAAAATTCTAGTTCTTATCTAGAACCCCCCAAAATACTTAATTGTTATTGTAGATTTATAAACAGGGCAGAATGTATACAATTTCTTCCCTAAACAGTATTGGGGATTTTCAGTACTTCATATACTGTACAAATACAGTATATGCTTTGTTATGTAAAAGAAAACAGAAAGAATCAACTACAGATTCCTATGAAATGAAGGATTCATTTTAAAAAAGGAACGCAGGACATCATGTGGCTCTCAAAGAGAGATAATAGACACAAATTAATGTAGCCAATTACTTAATTGCCATCAATCAACATACAGTAGCATACAAGACAAGTTGAAGGAAGCCAGGGCACCTTCAAGAAGAACATGCAACTTTCACACAGAAGGTGCCCCAGAACCCAGGACCAAGGATCTGTAAAGAAACACTGACCACCATGAAGACCAGCAGAGGACATATTTTTCTATAATTCTCCTTTACACTTACCTATTATAAGTATCCCACTTTTTAAATCATGTGATCAGATACTGTATGCACTTTTAGATTATTGTAGTAGTATATAACCATCTACTATTGATAACAAAGTCCCACATAAAATATATACTGGGGGTACTTAAGTACCATCCTGTCAAAACTCATTCCATAGCATTTCAATGTTCAGTAAATGAGTAGTTTAACTTTCTACAGATATTACTTAGATTTGAAGAATAGAGCGGGACTGTGTGTGCTGTGTTACAGTATGTGTAAATGTGATTACCAACAATTGTATATTGTCATGAGGACAATTTGCAGGAAAATTATACCAAAACATTTCCGTTGTATTTTAATAAGGCCAGTAAGCATCCATATATTTCACTAATTTGTGCTGATGCCCTCAGCTGTATATCATTAATCTTGTCCATCTGTGGTTATTACAGGTACAGTATATAAGATTTTAAAGGGCACAAAACTTGGGAAAAGTCTGTTTTTTTTTTTGTTATGTTAGTATTTTTGCATTTACTTTATCATATACACATCCACATTTTTCATGGGAACATAGTCGAGAAGACATACCGTATTTTAAACATATGTTGTGTTTTTCATCTATATCGGTTTGGTTTTCTTCAGAACGTACAGTATCTTTCATTGCACCATAAATGGAATTATAATATCAGTTATAACTGAAATTCAGGAGGAAGGTTGGATTCTAACCTCACACACTACCACTTGCCTACTGATATACGTTTCGGACCCAGGATTTCCTTTTATGAATCTCTCTCGCACCCCCCACTCCTCCATCTACACCCTTGCAGCAAATTCCCTAGCACAACCCTTACAATAGTGAGGGGGGGGTTAGGCAGCCTACGTCCATAGCCATGTGAGACAATTATTTAATACATACTGTATTTGCCTTTTTCTCGCATTCATTACAATTAAATATACAGTATGATATTTATGTATGACAATTTATATACAGTAGACCTATAGTATACTGTATAATGAACAAAGCTTGTTCCATCCACAACACAAGGAGCATAGGTACATTTGATACTGTACAAATTGTTTGACACAAAAAAACGTATATTTCTCCATGCTGCTTGGTGAGCACCATCTACTTAGGGCATGGAGGCAAGGGTTAATACATTTTCCATGCCATTGAATTCTTCACCTCTTCAGCTTTATTCCCAGGGATAATGCATTAAGACATGGGTATGAATAGGTTTTGATGTTGAGGGCACCAAACACATTTATTTCATTCGTCAGTTGAACTAGTTTTGTCAAACTCATCCTATGTACAGTACTGTACCACCTCTCCCCTTGGTAAAAATATGAAAATAAGATAATGGCAAAATAATAAGTTATAAAATAATAATAATAACTAAATTATAATTAAGTTAAAAAACTGTACCTTCCATCTAATTCTGGGTAATTTCTAACTCCATTTTCAAGGGCCTCCAATAACTGTTGTCCTGTAGCTTCAACTACCAATACAGGATCTGTTATTGGCAGTATTTGCATAAGGTCATGCATTGTAAAAGGGCCTGCTGGATGGATGCGATCTGATCGCAGAGTACCTGAAATAACACTTCATTATTCAGTCAAAGCCTACCCAACACAACATGGTACTCAGTAGGAGCTTCAGAAAAAAGGACACTAAGAATGGGCCCTTTTTCCAGGACATTTACCCGGGGTTTCATGTCAAAGTGAAACTATATGTATGTTGTAAAACATGTCACAGTACGTGCTGTAGATTATTACTGATATACAGTAGGATTACCTAGAATGGAATGCAAACCCTATTTCACAGTCTTTCTTCATCAAAGATAAAAAGATAATTTATTGATAAAATGTTTTTTTACACTACTATCAATCATGAGTTTTATTTCTACCCCAGAAGACTAACCATTTTGTTTCTCTAAAGTATAGTTAAGTATAAAGTTAAAAAGACTATGCCTTGGCTGCCAAAATAGAGAAGGCAAATAAAACATATATGCTCTTATCATGACTAAGAAATTAACACTTCATTCAGTGAACACCTGAGTTCAACAGTGCCACATCGGCATGCGTAGCTTCAAGCATTGCATTAGTGATGAGATTGCCAAGATTGCTCTCTGATTTCCTCACAGTAGTAAAGCGTCCATCTAAATCTCTTTCAGTTTGGCACAGCACTTCTTCAAGCAAATACTGTCAAAAAAGTAATAAATTATAATTTAAAAAATAATACAAATGTTTGCTTTATTGGGTGTTAGATGATTGTGTTAAAATAGTAAGTACAGTTTAATATATAATACCTCTGGAAATTGATATTACAGTTTTAATAATTAGACAAGTATAGACAAGAATTGGCATATGTGTCTTTAACTTCAGCATTACCATGAAACGTGCTAGCGAATAAATTGAGTTAAAACTATGGGAGAAACCCATGTTAACGCAGGGAGAACATACAAACTCCACACAGACAGCATCCCAGGGCCCTAGTACTGTGAGGCTGCACTGTTAAAAACTGTGCCACCATGCCATCTTATTTATTATTAGTAAATGGATATACAGTATACTGTAAGTTATAAATAGATTATCCCCAAATACCTGTAAAATATTAATTTTGTATTTCAACTTTTTTACAGAGCTCATGGAAGAACTAAAACATGTTTTTTTTCTGTATCGCTTTGCCTTCCACGAAAGGAATTACAATGCACTCAATCTTACGGCTTCTAATTATATTTTCTCCAAGCAATGAAAGTTACACATACCTGAATATTCATACTGTATTCCATGACAATGCATTTTATAGCAGGATCCTCCTCAATGTTTTTTTCAATTGCTATTTTCTGTACAGCGTAACTAAATGTCAAGTCACAGTTTCTCACGACGTCAATTTTTGACAGGTATCTGAAATCGGATCCACTTTTCACAACAAGGATTCCATTCTCCTCTAAAATACCATATTCATGGTCATGGCCTCCGAGGATGAGGTCCACTGCTTTTGTTTTGGATGCCAGTCGGATGTCATTGGACCATTTCATGTGTGTGATGGCAACGATCAGCTCAGCTCCCTTTTCCCGCAGTTCTTTCGAAAGCCGTTCAGCCATGACGACATAGTCCACATAGTCAATATTTGATTTATTAACTGTGCCCAGAGTATCAAGCCATTCCTCTTCAACTAAACCCATTATGCCAATTTTTAGCCCATCCCAGTTGAAGACAGAGCTCACCATTCCATGGCCTAGTGGCTGAGAAGTAAATCTGTCGTATACATTGCTGAGAAACCAAGGCAAATTCATCTTAGGTGCCATTTCCTCAAGGAGATCCACACCAAAATCAAACTCGTGGTTGCCTAAAACATTTAAAAACAGTAATATTCACAAGCTCCAATGAAAATGAACACATATTTAAAGGACAAATTAGTTCGGTTGACAGTGCAGAATGGCTGTCAGTGCTAGAAGAAGTGGGGAACACTCCTAATGTACAGTATGTGTACTTTGGGATGAAAAGCAATATACAATATAAATGTAATGAAGTATTATTATTCACTAACATTTTTACTTTACTATCCAGTAGGTGGTGAGTCCATGGTGCATGTCTACAGCATACCACAAAATAGATCCACTGTCAGATTCTAAACATTACTGCCAAAGTCTTAATGTTTTCATACTCTTCTGTGTAATTTACATAAATTGCTACTTAGACTGATTGGGAGTGTGTACATTATGTATAAACAATTATCTTCCATTTTTTAATTAAATACATTAGGTGTTCTGAATTAATAGTTAGACTGGATTGTTCCATTTGTCTTAGAATTCAGACATTTCTGTTAGTATCAAGTATTAGTACACTGTTTTCCCGTGTGTTCTCAGCAATTAGATGTTTTATTCTACACACCTTATAAACAATATCAGCATGTACTAAATGCAGATGATAATTCTTTTTACATTTTTTTTATTTGCTCTCACCAGATACCTCACTGAGTACAATCTAGACTGGTTTGCCAGTCAGTCAAAGCCAATTTGTTTTCCTTCATCAAGACACAATTTTCTGAGTGCATAATAATACAGATTTAGACAAAACTATGCTAATTCTAACTTTGTGCTTTTTGGCAATAGTATGAAAATCAATGGAACTATAAGGGATATTTAAAGTGCCTATTTCATATTTTGCTGTTTTACTATGTATTAGAATTACTGTTAAGACCCTTAAATAATAATAGAACATTCAGTAGTTTGTGTCTCTGGTCACGGTTAATAGTACAGTATATTGTTGGCATTATTGACAATGGTCACTGTGACATAATCAGCCTTCTATAAAAGAAAATGTTAATATTAAGCTTTTGATAAGGCAAGAATTGTGTTATTGCATGCGAAAAATCCAAATTAACAAACCCTAATTACAGTTTCCAAACATAAAAAAGACAGATGGAGCCACAGCTGAACCTATTTATTCAGCATTTTGTACAAAAATAATAAAATAATATTTCCAGGTTATCTTCTCACTTAAAATGTAGCTAAAGGCAGGCTGAAGGCTCCAAATGTACAGTCCAGGCTGCCCTTAATTGTTTTCAAGAGACAAAATGGCATGCAAGCAAACAGTGCAGGTTCACAGTAATCCGCAAAGAAAGGTATTCAAATGTCTTTAAAATAATCCATCTACATACTGTAGTTTTATAGTAAACTTCTTTTATAGTATACTGTAGTTTTATAGTAAAGTGTGAAAAGAAATGAATGTCAATTTACAGATTACAAAGAAAAAAACAGCCTGGATGTATGTGAGGCATGGACAATAAGTATTGGCAAGTATTGAGTAAAGATGATTTAGTCATACCAAAGCATTTGAGATGTTAGTAAACAACCTACAATAAGAAATTTTGATTCCATAAATGTTTGTTTTTTTTTAAACAAAAACCTAAAAATAAAAATATTAATGTAATATAGATTTTGTGGTTATTTAAAGAATTAAATAATATAATCATTAAGGGTGAATATTCTTGATGGGACTGGCAAACTAGTGTTAGAGCTCAATAAGTTTTGATAAAGTTTTCATTGATAAGTTTTTTTCGCTTAAGCTTTTACTCACAGTTGCTTATATTCCAGGGTTCATATACAGTAAGTTGAACAGATAAGGGCTCCATGCTCAGGTTTGAGTGAAGTACTGCAAATAATACTTCAGGGATCTGATTCAGGGTGTACTGCAGGGATCTGTACTATGCCTACTGCTCTTCTTAATTAATATTAATGTTCTAGATTCCAGAATTAGTAAATTAGTGAAGTTTGCACCAAATTAGGAAGATTAGCCAACACTATAGAAGCAGCAAGCAGAATTCACATTAATGACTGGGCAGACACCTGGCAGATTACATTAAATGTAGACAAGTACAGGATATTGCATGTACTGTAGGTATTACAAAGGTAAAATATGAATAGATATTGGAACCACAGAGATAGAACAGGTTACTTGTGAAAAAGACTTAAATCAGGTGTTTATGTTGACATACTGTATAACATTTAATAAACAATGTGGGAAGTGAATAAAAAAACAAACAAAATGCTACAATATTTAGTTACAATTTGTAGAATTCTAATAAATGGATGTTATGTTAAAAATTGGCCTAATAAAGCCTCATTTAGAATATCATGTACAATTTTGATTTTTTATGTAGAGGTAATAACTATGTGCAGTTCAATACGTTTAATCATAATAATAATCACCTACAGTAGATACTGTAGGATCATATACAATTTCACTATAAATTTATATAATCTCCCTTTATATAATCAATAATCATATTTGCCCTTTTTATTCTATCTGTACATTCCATGGATCAGAACAGTCATGTCTTAAGTTAAGTTCTGTATATCAGGTAATTGTATACAAGCTATTGTGTTGTTGTAATTGTGTCCCTACAGAACGTTCTACATGAGAATGAAAATGTAATTATTGCAAAAAAAAAGACTACTTCATTGAAACTGTCCAAAGACACTTTGCAGACAGTTTTACAGCTAACATGCAACACAACTGAATAGCAAGTTCATTAAACTTCACATGATATTTCAAAGTGTTTTGCCAGACTTAATTATACACTTCTGGAACAGAACTGAACATAAAGCAGAGGATATTGGACATATTTTGGACATAATATGGATTTTTAGTGACTCAAAGTTACAGTTTACAAAAAGTGGTGTTTTTATATATTACTAAAATTATTATGATAAAAATGTAATCCATAAGGGGTAGATTATAGATAGATAAAAATACATCCATAAATCAAGATAAATGTAAGACCTCCGCCTTTTGGATCTACTTTATCCATAAATTATCCCTAAAACCATTATTTTTATCTGAATTATTTCCCCATTTTTATGTTTAATAAAATTAAAACTTCAATTTACAGTAGCATAATTTATGAATATCTTAAAACCATTATTATATTAATACTGGTACACAAATACATACCGTATACAGCGCAGTGCACTCCGAGTTTCTTAAATATCTCTACCATATGTTTTCCTTTTGTAATTGTGCTTAACAGGGAAGGATTTAAACAATCTCCACTAAAAACTATTAGTGGGTTTTTCGGATGGAACTGTTTCAAAGCTGTAGCAAACCTGGAAGAAGAGAAAAGCAATACTTTAAAGGACATGAATTTTTACATTTATTTTAACTTTCACTTATATTAAATGAGACTGTATAAAATAAAAAAAATATGAGAATTATTGTACTCCAGAGGTACTAAGAGTTTTAGTTATGAGGTATGTGAAACAATTCTCACATTCATTTTACGACATGGAAACGCGGGTGACAAAACTTGAAATAAATTTTAAATGTCTACAAAAGGATATACTACTTGATAAAATAAATATTTTATTGAAAGACATATTTCGAGTTTGTTACATGGGAAGATGGAGTTTTGTATCACAGCCATATCACCCTTCAACTCACAACTAGCAACCCACTGAAGCTAAGGATGTGTGAGCCTGGTCAGTACCCGGATGGGATGTCCTGGGAAAAACTGAGGTTGCTGCTGGAAGAGGTGTTAGTGGGGCCAGCAGGGGGCACTCAGCCTGCGGTCCATGTGGGTCCTAATGCCCTAATGTAAAAAGGTGCCGTCCTTTGGATGAGATGTAAAACCGAGGTCCTGACTCCCTGTCGTACTTAAAAACCCCAGGGCATTTCTCGAAAAGAGTAGGGGGTGTAAACCCAGTGTCCTGCCCAAATTTCCGATTGGCCCTTACCAATCATGGCCTCCTAATAATCCCCATTTATAAACTGGCTACATCACTCTGCTCTCCTCCCAACTTATAGCTGATGTGTGGTGAGAGTTCTGGCGCACTATGACTTCCGTCGCATCATCCAGGTGGGGCTTCACACTGGTTGTGGTGGAGTTGAGTCCCCATTACCTGTAAAGCGCTTTGAGTGGAGTGTCCAGAAAAGCGCTATTCAAGTGTAAGCAATTAATTATTATTATTATTATTATTATTATTATTATTATAGCTATAAGACAAAGCTTGTATTACATATGTAGTGTATACAGTATGTCTTACTCCTCAACACTACAGTTCATATATTTCTCCCTGTCACTTTCCAGTTACATGGAGATTGCTCAACATCCTGTGAAATCATCCACTATTTAGTTCAGAGAGCTACTGTAAAATATTAATAACAACTACAGGAAAAGGGAAACCTGTCATAACACACACATCAAACTATACCTCTTACATGCTGTAATATTCTGGAGTTTGAAGGTTTTTTTTGTTTCCACAATCTAGGCTACACAATCAGAATGGAGGGCTAGTAATACAAAACAATTTAGACGTTTGTCATTCAGTTTTCCTAGAAAATTCTGTTATTCTAATTTTCCAGTCCTACTTACAGTAGTAATGCTAGGGAGAACAATACTAGCATATTTGTATTTCAAGAGAATTTGTATATACTGTAGAGTGAACATCAAAAGAAAATTGTTTCTGTGTTCATCCGTGTTTTGGTGTTACTTTGATTAATTGATTATTTGAGACTAACTGTGATGTGCCCCGGTGGACAGTGGTAAGCATTGCTGTCTCTCAGCTCTGGGTCTAACTACTGGGATGCAGTCTGTGTGGAGTTTGTATGTTCTCCCCATGTTTGCATGGTTTTCCTGCAGGTGCGCCAGTTTCCTCCCACAATCCAAAGACATAGTGGAAGATTAATTGGCTTCTGGGAAAATTGGTCCTTGTGTGAGTGCGTGCGTGTCTGTGTGTGTCTGTGTCTGCCTAGCAATGAACTGGCATCCCATCCAGGGTGTACTCCACCTTTTGTTCATTGCTTGCTATGATAGGCCAAGGCTTCCTCATGACAACCAATTTGGAAGAAGCAGTTACAAAATGGATTGATGTGATGCACCCAAGTGCCTCTTGATTGTTGTATAGTTCTCATCAAGGGAACGTCTCCTTAGTGCCGTTGTTATGTTGTAGGCAGCACTACATCAGCACACTGTTGCTCGCTGTCTGGGATGTTCACAGCCAGCAGTTTCCTGGCAAGATGTTACGTACATCCAAACCCAGCCTGTCAAAGATAGGCCTGATTCTGGGAGGCCATGCTGTAAGTCATGAAACCTCATCGAATTCAACACATCATTGTGCTCCATCTTCATAATCATTTTAGTGCCACCACTTCCACTGGATCAAATCAGGTGCCCTTTTTTAAAACATCTATTCAGTTATAAGGTGTTTCAGAAATAGAGGAGGGACACTAAGTGATAGTAAACAAAAGCTGCTCTCCAGGCCTAGACCTTAAAAAGGGTCAGACAATCATGTTCAAAGGCAACTTCGGTGATGGCCAAAGATCAATCTCGACTTATTAAGCCAAGTACTGATTTAACTAAGTAAATAGGGGCTTTCCAGAACAAGGGCTGCAGACCCCGACACAAAACTCAAACAGAAATATTCAACAACTCAACAGGAAGTTGCAGTATGTCACCATCACCTTGCTAGCTTTACTTTTGATTGGTTTGGCTTTACCTGTGTGTGTCACTTGATAGCTTATGCTCCTGCAAGAGACCATGTATAAACATAATTATTCATCAATATTAAGGGAATATTCATGAAAATATCACTGATCTAGACAGTGGTATACAGTAGAGTACATACGGAAAATGCACCAGACATTGATTAAACGTAATGCAGAAGTGTAAAATGCAGGCTGTAGTAGTTTGGTGTCTAGTAGATCAAAAATTTAATACACCTTTACAGCTTCAGAAACTGTTAGTAACAGTGTTACTATTAACTTATTCTTATTATAGAACGGCGCCACTATCAGCAACGATACTAGCAGTTTTCCCAACAGGGAGAAACTGGTGCTACATTTCAATGAACTACGCTAAATCCATTGATCCCAGGTAAAACCTAAAACCGTCGTCACCTTGCTGCGCCGCCTACAGGTTCTTCTTCTCTTGCCTCTATTTCGTAAACATCGTTGAAATGCAGAATTGTTAACACAACCTTTGACGATTCATCACTCGTTTCTTTTTCAAGCAAAGAACCTTCCGCCATCTTTCGGTCGAGTGGGGAAGAATTTGTTACCACGGAATCGTCGCCATGGAGACGCCATGCCTTTCTTAATGCTTTATTTATAACCTTAATAAAAAAAATACAACAGTAAGTAACACCAAAAGAATGAATGTATACATACATTATAGGAAAAGTCAGTGGTACTCAATTACAGAGATAATGTAACATAACTTAAAATGTCACAGGTTTGTTTAGTGTAGCTTTCTTATTTTTAATGTTTGAAATGATTTTAACGTTAAATTCGATTTATATTTTAAACAGGATTGGAGAAGACATTGATAGGACAAATGAAATATATTTCCTTTATTCATGTTAAAAAACACACATTGATCATCTAAGTCGAGGTTAAATTACATATTAAATGATTACATATTACATATTAAAATTATCTAAACAATATTATTCGAAAATGTTGCTTATAACATTAATTTGCTTCTTCAAATAACTATACTGGGAAAAGTTCGCCCGAAAATGTATGATTTCTAAGAATAAAGAAACTTTATTTCAATAAATTATTGTACTGTTTCTTTTACCTTGCAGCTATAACGTTAGTTACACGGGTCAGGCGGCAACAAATGCATCCTGATACTTTTCCTTTTTCTCCTTCTTTCTCTTTTGAGGTTTCTCTAATTTATTTCCACTTGGAACAAATAATAAGATAAGCGGAAAGTTCAAATCTCGATACATCGTCTTTTTAATCACTACTTACCACTGCTCTTAACCTTACTAATATTATTTATGAACAATAGGTTCATTCCATGCTGAAAAGAGAAGAAAACACAACGTTTCGGCCGTGGAGTTCCCACCTGAAGAAGGCTCCACGGCCGAAACTTTGTGTTTTCTTTCTTCTCTTTTCAGCATTGAATAAACCTATTACTTGTTCCTTTGCAGCCTACGCATGCTTACGCAGCTACCCACCTAAACTAATATTATTTATACAACAGTCATATACTGTACAGTATTTTCTATACACCTGGTAAGCAAAAGAAATTTGCACCGGGAATAATACTCTCCTACTGTATATCAGATGTAAAGACAATTAGCACCAGAAGGCGACAATGTGACCAGATCTCTACCACCTAGCCGTTTAAACGAGATACTGTATTATTTGTGTTTGTACACATACAGACACAGTAGACAGGAATTAAAACCAAAAATTGGTCGCCCCCGATAATCTTGTAGGACATACAGTACAACTGAAAAACAAAAGATTAACAGTAAATTATTGATATTATAAATTATGTCGATATTGAACTTCGATACAAATTAAAAGTCATAACTTTATCGGACACGTTTCTAAATAATACCGATTTCAGCAATTCTATATATACATACTTAATTATTCTGCAACACAACATTTTCTTTATTGTTGCCTGTTCCATTACAATCGTTTTCCTGGACATACTGTATATACTAGATGCCGCCTTCATTCTCACTGTTACTTTAAACACATCCTATTGTACAACTACTCAGTGTTAAAGTGTGACTACTGGCAAGCCTGTTGATGATCTGCCCTGCTTAAACTGTATAGATTTAGAGATCATTTACAGTAGACAGCATTACTGTGTTGAATAAATCTTTCATCAACAAGAATACTTCTTGGGAGATTTCCATTTTGTGGAAAAATGATTTTTGTCATTTATCTCAGCAACACAATCCCATGCTTTTCCACAGCCTCCATAAATATACTGTACAGTATAAAGGAAGAACTGGTTTTGAAACAGAAGAGCCTTTCTTAAAAATATTCTCACCTTAACCACATTGAAATGTTATCAGATGACATTGACAAGAAAAGGTGAAAAAGTGGAGTGCAAACACCATGAAAAAATATGCTCTATGAATTATTTAACACTAAATTAGGTAAACATAATTATATGATGCTTAGGGTACTTTGTTACCAATCCAATGGCTCATAACTGAAATAGCAGTATAGTTAGTTTACACTACACAAAATATTTCCTTAAAAAAATGTCAGTATTAACATGCATAATGTAATGGCCTCTCTGTAACAGCGGCCGGTATTATGACTGTAGAAACGGGGTTGAGCCGCCAGAGGGCAGTGTGGAGACAGTCCCAGTAACGCATTCTTGGCATTCTCATGAGGAAATAAGGGAACTGGCGTCTCCAGGTACACGCAGAAGCCAAAGGTTGTCTAACCAGACTTTCAAAGTCACCTTGGACAGTGAGATTATATAATACCAAGGTGAGAGTCTATGGGGAAATTTTAAAAGATTTAAAACTACTCTGGCTGAGGGGCAGTAAAACCAAAGACGAGACTTACCTTAATTAGAGGCAGCCTCAATGGCTGCAATACTAGCTTGCCAGTATGAAATTATCAACCAGGTGAGGCATTTCCAATGCTACAGTACTTACTTCTGAAGTGAAGTTAAACATTGCATTTAAGGAAGGTAGTTCTGTGCTACCATCAAAGATTGTCTATTACAGTCTCATTATGGAAAACCCAGGTGAAGCACGACTCATTGGCAATGTATTGTATTTACTCTACCTGTCCCCAAAAAGCTAAAGGGTAAGAAAAGCACAGAGGAATTGCTAGACACACTGTAAAAACCAATATCTTTGCTGATGTTAACACTTTTAACAAAGATAATATATGGGTAAATGGTCTACATAACATTCTATACAATTGAAAAGATTTCTTCCCAAAGACTTTAGGAGAAGGAGACATTCCTACTTAATCCCATCTTTTTAAATCGGACAAAAGAAGCTGCTGATCTAACTTGCATATTTTTGATCAGAGGGTAAAATGAGAGATGATCTTATTCATTTTGATCAGGAAATCTACCAAAATGGCCACCCTTGTTGGCTGTCATTAGCTCCGGTGCTTAAAGCATGAGAGCTTATAGGATTTATGATGGCTCTGATGCATGTAGGGACAAGTCTTGTAAATTCATATTTAAAAGTCCCCACTATACCAATTGGCACATTATACTTCAGGCAGCCAAAAAAGTAGATGCACTATCTCAGCCCCAAGGATATCCAGTCCTATACTTCCTGGATTATTCTGCTCTCATAGAGAAATTCTTTTGCCATCTTTGAACTGTGGAGCTTCCATTTTTACCTAACTACATTGATGATCATACATAGTTGCTTTTTCAGTCTGTTTTATGTTATGTCTTACTTGGCTCATCATGGTTTTATCCTGATATTCTTTCCTGGTAATGCTACAGTATATTGCACTGTGTGGATATGGAAGTTTCTCAAAAAGACAGATTGGTTTCTCAGTAGCCTTCCATTCCTGTGAAACACAGTATATGAATTATAATTTAAGTCCAGTATCTTTATAATACTAAATAACTGAAGAGGACAGATAACATTACATTTCCGTATGTGACAAAACTATCTGAAAGTAATTACTGGGGTTTCCTAAAAAATCATAAAGTTACATTATAAAGATTGTACAATTATAGCATTCTGGGAAAACAAAGTACTTACAAAAAGGAAAGAATGCATTCTTAAACAGGAAACTGCAGTCTTTCAAGAACGTTCCTACTAGAAGTTCCAAAAAAAAATAGCAAACACCAGGTTATACTATGATCACACAAAGTCACAATACTAAGATCAAACTAGACAAAAACTAACTTGTTAAATACCCCAAACTCCACCCCCCACACTTCCTATTGATTGACAGGAAGCCTCCATTTAAACGGGGGGTGAGGCAGGCTCTGTAACACAAAATGGCGGAACAAACAGATAAGGACAAGACTATCAGCAACAGGTAAGACAAATACAAAATAATTCATAAATGCCATATAAAGTTAAAAAGAAAGTGGCATTGTTCCAGAATGAAAAGGGTAACAGATGAGTAATTGAAAAAGGTTTATGAGAGACAATAGACACGTGACACTGTCCCTTTGTCACACATGATGAGAAAGCAAAGATTGTTAGTTATGACTAACATACAGTATGTTCTTATGTGACTTTTCTTTCTCATTGGTCACATACAGTCTCAAGACACAAGCAGTGCAATTTTAATTCTTTAAATGGAGTCTTTAATCCTGGGATGTGTGCAGTTGAATTTTTAGTTGTTTCTTTTTACAGGAAAAACCTTGTTTATTGCAAGCTTTAAAACATCTTTCCAGGTCTGGTGCTCATATCTAAAAACAACAAGGTTGTGATTAAATGCTTTGTTAATTTAAATAATATTGCTTTGGCTTCTAATCTGAATAAAAGGCACAGTGAGTGTATTTCCAAATTACAATTCTGCAGTTGGAAACAGAACATAACACCAGGAATTGATTTCTGGCCAATCTGAAAAGTGAGTTTTAAAACCTTAGATATTAGAGCAGTATCTGTAACAAAATAAGACAGCTCTTCTATGAATATACTGAACACTGTGGTACAGTAGGTTACTCCTAGGCTAAAAGTGCCTAGCTTTGTTGAGACATTCAAAGATATCAATAATTCTGTACTCTCTGAGTTCTCAGAGACTTTTATTCATGTCTCTATTCTAAGGAAACAAGCACAGATGTGGCCAAACCAAAGAAATTAAAATAGTTAAGCTCACTGAAGGCTAAAATATACAAATATGCTTTGAAATTATATTTAAAAAATTCCAGTTGAGGGTAGAAAATGGATAAAGAGTTCATATGGCTGATAAAAGTGATTTCATGAAATCAAATGTATAATGAGGTGGTATGGTGGTTTCACAGCTTTTGGGTCTTCAGTTTCGGGACACCAGCATCTTCTATGCTTTTGGGAGGGCTGTAGGTTGCACTGGACTTTATTGGGAAAAAGTGGTTATACCAATATGGATTGAATTCCATAATGCAAATGTAGCCAATGTAGTGATGCCATCAAGGGAGTAGTGTTGGCATTTTTCTTGCATTCTAACATCTGTATTATGCACAAGCTCCAAGCAAGATAAGGTGTTACTTGAAAAAACAAAATTTAAAGCACTAACATACAGAATTATATCCAGTATGTATGGTACAGTATATACCGCATAGTGAAATATACAGTATAGTTTCTAGTACAGTACGTCACAAAAAAGGTATACTTTGCTACTTTTCATTAGATTTAGCTAATGTACACATAAAAGGTAATATACATGAAGATAAGCTGAAACAGAATTCTGATTATTAAGTAATACATTTTGCTTGGAATGATCAATTCATGCCTAAACGTCAGTAGCTAAAGTCTTTCACTAGCTCATACACATCTCCAATTTAATCAATTGCAGTTAATACACCTGTGGATCAGACTGATTTTTTCTGTGCTCAATTTCAAGTGGCTGTTAAGTGGCCTAATGGCCATACTGTACCACTTTGCATGTCTTCTTGCTTGTTTTAACCTGCCTAAATACCAGTATTTTTATATCCACAGATATGCATTTACTTTGTATTTTTGCCACATTATGATCACTTCCTCAAGATTTCCTTTTGCCGTTATGGCAGTTCATTACGCAATGATGAGTTGGGAAAGGTGATCAGTAAACCTGATGGCTCTTATTAGCTTACGGGAAATGTAAACAAAATATTGTCACAGCTTAACATACATTATTTTAATTTATTGGTGCATTCACGCTACTACTTTTTGAATGGTTTTATGATTTTAAAAAATATATATTTTACAAAACAGGCCTTTGAGACAAATTTTGTTATAAAGTAGCTTTTTTTCCAGAAGTTCAAATAATAGCAGTATCATTGCAGTCTACTGTAGATGTTATAAAGGCATGTATTATTTTCTAAATATTAAATAAAGAGTGTAATGATATAATTTTATCTTTATTACATTGTTAGGATTACAATTCAGTTATGCATTTAAAGGTGATAGTATAGTTCAGAATCAAAATCCATGTATGTTTTTATCATTTGAACTTGTTGTTTTGAACCCATAATCAAAACCTCTTTTTGTGATGTACTATAATTATTAAATATTTGGAGACATTAAACTTCTAATATCAGTAAGATACTCCAGTAAACAATATTAACACCACCATTAGTGTCTCTAGTAGTAACAAAACCTACAGTAGGATCTTGAACCTTGGTCAGTAATTTTAGCACAGCTTACACTTGATAAGGTTGTTCATCACAATGGTTGATTTTTTTTTTTCATTTGAACCTCTGACACAGGCTTATATTATATAAGCATTACTCTCATTCTCATACAGGGGTTCAAACATATTCTACTCTACACTTACTCATGACTGTGGCATTCTCTTGTTTCTCTGTGATATTGACTGTATACCAGTTCCTGAAATGTGTATACTGTTTGATAACTGTGGTAGATATAGTACTTTGGATACGGAACAAATTGGTCAAAATAGATTCTTATACCTCTGAAATCCATTTCTGTGACAGCTTATCTTCAACTGCATATTGGAGAATTAAACTCTCCCTTATTTTCAACAGAAGTGTAATAAGAATATGATCCAGGTCCTGAACAAAACTGAAGCAGATCTGACTAGATGGTTTAGTTCTCAGGCAGCTCTAAGTGGTAAAAATTAGTCTGCTTCAGGGAGTTAATTCCTTGTATTCATTTATCTCCCTATCTATCTTGTACAGTAGGTGGGGTGTAGAGGAACAAAGAGCTATTTTACCTGGTAATCATCAGGACATTGTAATGTCATTGGACAATGTCATGTCGGGACATTGTAAAACAAAAGATATGGCCTGGAATGTCAGTTCCTACAGTATCTGCCATACAGTAGGTGCCCATTACCAGTATTATATAAAATACATTACATGGCAGTAAGTAAAATAGAATTTATCATTTAAGTGGTATAATTTGTTTTATTGTTAATGAAAATGTTATACAGTTTTACTGGTATTCTTTTTGTAGTGTTGACAACAATCAAAAGAAACAGGAAATTGAGAAACAGAATGCACCCATGATGGAAACAGATTAGATTTGGCTCACTTCTGGGGTTTTCCCACTTCGATATACTGTATACTTCGATGAATGACTCCACATTTCACACCTGTAGGGGGTCACAGGACACAGCTTTGTCCTCCAATCCAATGGCTGATCTCATCAACAGGTCCCGCAAGGAGTATACCTTCTTCTCTATGTGACTTTCTGCCATCCATCCATCTATTCCTCCATCCAATTTCTAACTGCTTTTTCCCAGTTCAGTGTCAATCCCTTCCAAATTAGCTTTATATGGGATAGAAAACTGTACAAGATGGATGGTAGTCCTGACTGGAAAGCAATCTACTGAATGTGAACATCTTATCGGCTTCTAAAATGAATGCACAAAAGCTAATCCATTTAAAACTTGAATGTGTGCATCCAGGGGTATAATTTCTATTTTTACCAACTAAAAATCAAAAGAACAGTTGGGTTTGAACATTGCTTTAAATAAATAATAAACCTTCTATTATGATCAGAAATGCATTTATTCCTGATAAGGGTTTCAGTAACATGGAAAGAAGCCAAGAGGAAAAAGCACAGGGCATAAGGCATGCCTGTCCATCACAAGACATACAGTACACACAAGCATACGGTGGCAATTCAGAGGCATCAATTAATTACACCAGATTGTCTTTGCAAGGGGTTAGAAACTGGGACACCCAAGAAAAACCCACACAGACACTGCGAGGGCATACTGTCACCAAACAGCAGACACCCCAGGCCCGAATCGAACAAAGGATAAAAGAGCTGTGAAATGGTAACACTAGCTACCACACCTGTAATAGAGGCATGAAACCTACAATTTGTACAGAATCTCCAGAATCGTTGTAATTTTCCAGATATTCCACAATGATGTGTCAGGATAAAGTACAGTAAATTTAACAAAGAATGACAAGTAAATGTAAACATTTCACAAAGTCTTTTGGGTAGAAGAAAAAAATAACCCACACCTCCATCCATCCATTGTCTAATCACTTCTTGCAATTCAGGGTTGCTTGCAGACTTGAAGCCTAACCCAGCAACCAACAGACACAAGGCAGGCTAAACCCTTAGCGGGATGCTAGTCAATCACAGGGCACACACAAACACACTGTAAACACAGATGCACTCACTGACACCTAGGGCCAATTATCCAAGAAGCCAATTAACATACTGATATTTTTTGGACTGTGGGAGGAAACTGGAGCATCTGGGGGGAACCTTTGTGAGCATGGGGAAAATATGCAAACTCCAAGCAGGAAGTACCCCAGAGACTGAACACAAGACTCCAGCACTTTGAGACAGTAATGCTAACCACTGTGCTGCCCATAACCCACACATGAACTGAAGTACATGAAGTACTCATATCATGAAGTACAAATTGAATTAGACATCTACAGTATATATTTATCGGTCTGTGCAAAGAACAGTAGCAAAGCAAAGCTGATAGAGATGATGGAACAAACATGTGATAGAAGAACAGAGAGAAAATCCATCTACAAGATTAATATCATAATCAAACTGGAGCAGGGATATGTGGAAAAGATGACTACAGATTGTTGTTACAAATGGGCATTATGAAAATGCAAAATATCAGGAACTGCTAAATAATATCAGGTTATTTAGTAAATATATAAAATAACCATGACCTCCAACTTGTAAATGACTTCTGTCGGTATATACCCGAGTGATTGGTACTGTTTGAGGCATGTGAACTCTTTGCTCTCTCAGCTTTTGTGAAAAGAGAAATAATTCAAGTACAGTTTGTTAGTGTGTATGACTGTGATGCACACTACACTACACAACACATGTAGCATACAACATACAAGGTTCTCTGTGTATACAGTATGTAAAGACATGGTATTTTAGAGGCCTACATCCAAACCAACCAGAATACTCTAGACTGGTATCAAGTACTGTACAGTACTTCACTCTTAAATAATGACTACAGAGACCAAAGAAGAGATAAACTGTGTTCTAAACTAAATAGAATGTAACCTACAATTAAGCTTCTTTCTCTCTAACCTGGATGCCACCACATGAATGGAAGCCTATTTCCCTATTCTAAAATGAACCTAATAAGTAGGAGAGGCAATTTTAAACAGAGGGATTCTTCATTCAGGGACTCCAAGTTCCCCAAAAGCTACAGAATAGCAAGCTCTCTTAGTAAGTTTTAAATACTTTGCTCCAATCTGATTTGTTTTCTGATGATTGGAAGTAGGGACTTTCGACTGGCATAAGCTTCAAGATCTGTCTCCTGCTGTCCTCTCTCATGTTCTGCCCTTCTTTTCTTCCTCGGCCTTGATCTGATCTTATAGATTGTGTCTTTTTGGACTGTTGATTCACACTTAATTATTTGCCCAGATCTTAATTAACTAAGGTTAACCTAGGTAAACTTTATGATTGCTTTGATCATGGCCTCTGGACCTACCGCACCCCCTCTGCTTTGAAACAAGAAATGTTTACACTGCCAGGTGTTATACATCTAGAGTCTTTACGTATCTACAGTATAGTCTTGGACACCTCCATTGTCACCTACCTCAGCCTGTAACATTATTAAAGAATATGGTTCCATATATTTTATTTGAATATATTTTAATATTCTATACAATGGGATTTGCACTTCATTAAGATTGTTTCTATTGCTTTACAAAAATTGTTTTCTTTCAATCACTATGTTTTATAGAGAGTGTGTATATTGTTTACCAGGACTTTGTAATACACACAATAAATGTTCTTTTCACGAAGTGAATCTGGAAGAGACGATTGTTGTCTTTTCTCTTGCTTGCACAAAAAGTTTTTTTTAGCTTTTCATATTATTATTGTTAATAATGTGAATTTCCTGGGTATCATTTATGAAAAAAGTTATTATTTCCTGTGGTAAAGTGGCAGTAAATGGTATGGTAAGTGCCAGCTGGGAAAATAGTGACTTAATTTGCTGCACAACATACGAGAAAAACAAAAACAAGATTGTTTGAACCAAAAATTATTCAGATTTGAATGTATTGTTCAAATAAAGTATAATATATACATTCAATTTTCTTTATTGTTATGCTTGGATTTGTACAGTATGTAACACTTCGTTTCTTACAGCCAGGCAACCTTTTACTGTTGATAAATTCAGAAACATTTTACTTAATATAAACAATCCTGTACCCACCCACATGCTGTAAAATGATAAAACACAATCTTCTATTGGCACTAGATTTCTAACAATCGTGTCTCAGAAGTAGTACAATTGATGCTATTGAACATTTCATTGGGTAAATGTGTAAGCTCATGGGGGTCTGGTTTGATGGATCACATTAGTATTCCTGTCCTATGAATGTGCTCTGTTGCTAACCACGTCAGTCTGCCACATTCCGTGCGTCTCCTGTTCCTACCAAGGTTAGATATATTCTCAGAAGAAGACCTTGGAAACAAGATAGAGACTATCCATAGCAACCTTAATATATTTTGTCGTGTGCTTCATAGACGATTTTATTACTACTACTATCACTTCGAATACTAATAGTGATGTTAGTGTTTAAATAGTTCGAATTGCTGTCGATTCTATATTCAACTTCTTAGATCGTAAATGGAAACTCCTAACTCTAACCCATGGTTACATCTGGACAGCTGTGTATTCGCCTCTGAAGTAAACGTAAGCCACAATGTGTGTGGACATTTCAGCTGGTATTAGGCTTCTGTCGAACTGAAGGTGACTTGCCTTGCTGTCGAAGCGATGCAGAAAAGAGTCGCAAGCGCTCATCCGGCACTCCTGCAAGCTGAAGGTTGCCTGCAAAAAGATCTGTTTGAACAATAGAGTTATTTTGAGGCACTGGCTCGCTGCTTCAAAAGCCAAAGCCAAAAAAGAAAAAGAAAAATACACACCCTTTCTTATCAGCTTAGGTTTGATTATTGGATGTGTATGCATGAGTTCTGCACCGAATGGGCGCAAGAACCGCCCCAGATCCGCTGGATCCATTTTTCAAAGCGGCAAGGCACCTTACAGGGACCCAGAGCGCAGAGAGAGCACGGAGAGTACCCTAAAAACGCAACGAGCCCTGGAGGACTGCAGGATGGTAAGAACACTAGATTGGTGCTGCAATTGTATCCGCTGCTCCGGTGTGACTCCCCCACCTTTTCAATTCAGATCACGCGCAGTTGCACTATTTTTAAAACTGCAGTGAACCTTTCGTACAATCTATGCATCTGAACTGCAGAGAGTGATTAAATGCAATAATGTGTTGTGTACAGTATATTGAGTCACTAAATACAATTTCTCATTTCTACCGATCCGCGATTGACTTCATCGTAATAAGCAATATTGAGAATTGGTGCACGCTATTTGTATAAAATGTGTTTTTATTGTTAAACTGTTTTTTATTGTTTTATATATATATATAATTGTGCTATATATGTGAAAATGTACTTAGGACTCATTGGCATGCCTTGCTAATTTGTCAAGTTAGATGCGAAAAGCCTTTGTGCAGGCTTCCTGTAGATGTTAGAGCGCACCATAGGGCTTCTTTAAATTCTTAAAACGGTAATATAATCTGTCTAGCGCACCAGTGGATGTGGTGCTTCAAGAGTGAGCAGTATTGTTGATGGAAACAGCATCATTACACCAACAAAAGCTTAAAAATTAACTGTACGTCTCACTATGTAATCATTTTCTAGTAATAACAAAAATATTGTTCCATTGCTAAAACCTACAGTACAGTAATATACAGTATATTGGATATTTAATTTCCAGGTCTATCGTAAATATTATGTGGGGGTATCACACATATCGTTCCTTTCAACATCACGGTTCCTTATAAAACATTCTATTATTTCACCTTTAAGAACTAATATGTTATTAAACCATTCTGTTTTCTTAAAATGTGGTTCTACTGAAGAAAAAAAGAATATGTTGTCAACGTTGCGATATCGGGTCATTCAACGATATTATTTACATAGGTGGTGATACTTACTGTAGGACAGATATTACTCTAGCATAAAGATTGTTCTTCTAATAATTTAAATGTATTATAAGTGAGCAACAGGCTTATCAGAATAAAACGACTGTGTTTTTCAGATTGTCCAGGAGTTCAATACACTGGTGGCCCTGTACCGTGAACTAGTCATTTCCATTGGAGATGTGTCGGTCGACTGTCCTTCTCTTCGCGCGGAAATGCATAAGACACGAACCCAAGGCTGTGAGCTGGCCCGAACCGCACATCAAAATCTTTCAGTAATTTCTGGGTAAGAACAAACACAAATAACGCTGTACTGAAAAGAATCTAGACCCGTTTTACCTTTGAGTGTTTTGCTTTTGAAAGAATCCATGCACCATTTTTTTAAAATTTTCATTATAAACTCGAATTCCTCATTTTGATTAGGAGCTGTCTATGGTGCTGATTACCTGTGGCGCTTCATCACTTATGCTCCTTGCTAAATTATATTTTCACGCTCGAATCCATTCTATATTTACACGAGTCTAAATGCGTTTTATTCACACGCTTCGAAAGCAAGGGTCAGTGTTCAGGACCAGTGTTAATAATGCTGATCTTAGAGAAATGAGAACGGGTTGACGCCTCTAACAGGCTTTGATGTCAATCATTTGACGCATTTCTGCTTTGGTGACATAAATCTGTTGGGAGAAGTATCGTACTGTACCATGACATTTTGGGATCATATATAAGTGCATTTACAACTAATAAAACTGTGATACATGTACTTTTTTTTACCTGACCCTGTTCGTAACTGCACCAGATTCCGTTTAAAGCAGTTGAACTGTCCTAATCGGGAGGTTCTTTAACCTACTTTGTACTGTACGTTTTTAAATTGTACCTTCCACTTTTCATTTAGATTCTCTGGAGACTGACTTTAATTGGAACTATTTTAAATAATTTTTCAAAAGCATTTTCAAGGAGGGAAGTGAAAAATCTGGTAGCACAGATTATGAAGATTGTATTAAATCACCCAGTCATGTGCTTTCCATTCCCTTGTGCATAATTTTGACCTAGAAACTTTCAGAATCATTAGACTGTGTTTGTGTTATTGTACAACATGACTTACAAATAAGATAATAGACCACAGGTCTATAGAACTATATACAGTACAGTATATACAGTATATAATGTATACAGACCGTGACACTCTGAAAAGAGAATATTCTTTATACTGTATATGATTGGATTAGATTTCCCTAATACATTTTACATTCTCGTTTTTGAGTTGTTCATGGATAATGTTGATAGCAATGGAAGGAACAGTGATTGAAGAAATGATGTATATTTTTCAATATATTTGTATGCATCTTGTTTGTTTAATATGTGCAATGCAAGATGTAAAACCAAGGAGAAAGATATAGAGAATCTTTGTTTTGTAGCAAAGCAGAGTGTTTACTATGCACTACCAGCTCCACTGTCACTTTGTAGTGTTACTCCTGAAGAGTTCAACACAGAGATTACACTGGGTTTTTAAGTCTTTTTAAAAATAAGTATTTTAAACTGTTGAAAACATAACAGGTTTATTTTTTTCCACATTTTTGTATTTAAATTTACTATTTATATTTTCATGCACCTAGAAAATTCAGGTGGCATGGTTACCTTTGCTGGCAAATTCTCGGGTGCTATCTATGTGGAGTTTGTATGTTCTTCCTGTGTTTACATGGGCTTCCTCCCACAGATCCAAAACATTTAGTTTAATTGTTGTCTGGGAAGACTGGCTCTGAGGTGGGAGTCTGTGTGTGCCCTGCAATGAGCTGGTGTCCTGACGTGCACCCGTTGCTTGGCAGGGTAGGGTCTATGACCTCATAGTGACTAGAAAATGAATGAATGGAAAATCTCAAATTTACAAAAAAAAAGGGGAATTGGATTAAATTCATGCATGGCAAAAATATTAGAATTGTTCACATAAATACAAAACATTATGTTTCTTAGCGAAACACAATGTCATTTAAGCTTTCTAAGCCTTTATGCTGACATTTCTGTATAGTCAAGATGGTAAAGAACAATGACTGAGCTGGCAATGTGTTTGCGATCAGACCATTGAATGGGCTGTTATTGGTGTGAGGTTGCACGATTGGATTGGGTCAGGAGGTACTGGCTGTAACTCTCAGGTGATTGAATGGCTCAGTAGGTACCATCCTGCAGGTACCAGCAGGCTCATTCATTATCATTCCAAGTCCAGCAGGTACTGTATCATCCTCCTCCATTCAATGGTCTGATCATGAACAGATCTGGTAGACAGAGTGCAGTCAGATCTACAGTACACTAGGACATAGTTTTACATGTTTACATTGCTGTACCTATCAAATCAACAGAACACATATATCGGAGCTTTTTTAACACTAAACATACCATTAATGTCTCCCTCCATTGATGGAAAAGCAACACAACTATTAAAAAATCTGGAAAGTTTTGGAATTTAAACATTTTCTTCTGTATAACTGCACAGAGTGTATGAATGAAAAGCCTCTTCTAATATATATATACATGTTGTTTCTGGTCCCTGATGTGAACTTTGTTGAATTTCTTACACACATGTATACAGTATATATATATGAAAAAAATGAGACATGACAGGGTGTTAGTTGTGGTAGAATAACTGTATGCCCAGTGGCATAGTAAGGAACAAGTTTATAGGGGATTCAAACCTTAAAATGTGGTTATTCCAGAACAACTAACATCATGGGGTGTCTTCTAAGCACTCATAAAAAGGATTAGTAGTTAGAAATAAACATGTACACATTTTATTTAAAGTCAGAGAAAGGGAAAAGTCTTTATACACTAATGACATAAGGCTTTTCTTGATCTATTTAATATACTATCATATGGAATTTTAGATTTTTTTTATTTCTAACAAAATTAATATATAAATGGAGTCTTGTAGTATGGAATCTTACCTATGTTATTACACAGGAATTTTTTTTTTAAATAAAATAAATATTCACCAAAAAGATAAATTGCTGCACATATGTTTCTATTATTATGCTGACTGTAAAAAGGAACTGACACACAGTCTGATTTTATGACATTCTAACCATTAATAAAACAAAGGCTTAAGACCTGGCTGTAGTAGTTTTGAAATCAGGAAAACAGGAAGATAAAAAAAGAATAATCAAAAAGATATAGCATTCTGTAAAAGGTGTAAAACTAAAAAGAAAAACAACAGAAAGTCTTTGTGTTACAACTGTCAAAATAAATATCTGAATTTCAGTTTGGAAAAGTCAGAGCAACGATTTTGGGGTTAGAACTGGTGCTGTTGTTTCTTGACTGCAGATACCGGTATACATTGAAATATTTTAGACAATGATGTATTGCCAGCATTGCTTTAATTTTGTGATGAAGGCTCATCTATCTATGAGTAAACCATAAATAATATTTACAAAAACACAGATTGTGAGAAGGTAATTCACAAAGAATAGTGCTAAAATGTTTTATTTTAGCAAACATTACAGACTCTCGCTCTGACAGAGCCCTTCTGAGGTAAGCTGAAATGGCAATTAAGAAGAAACGATAGAACTAACAATTGCTCCATTTCTAACTGCCCAATGGGGTTAAACAAAGACAATTAAGTTTGCATACTGGAATGATGCAATATTCACTCATTCTTCTTTGTAGACTTGCTTAAGTTCTGTCAAGGAGGTTGGAGTTCATTGATGAACAGTGATTATCAAGTCCTGCTATAGGTTTTCTATTGGATTGAATTAAAGACTATGACTGGGTCACTCATAGAAATTCACTTCCTTCTTCTTAAACTACTCCTGAGTAGCTTTGGCCTTGTGTTTTGTGTCATAATTTTTGCACACTTAAAAGGTAAATTGTTGTCCCAGCTTGAGATCTCTAGCAGACAAACAGGTTTTGCTGTAAAATTTGCCTGTTCTTTGCTCCATCCATATATCCATCCATATATCCATCCGTATATCCCTCAATCCAGACAGGCTTCCTACTCTGTGCTGATGAGAAGAATCACAATAAAATAATACTGCCGGAACTGTGCTTGAAGGGGTGATAGTGTTAATTGGGTGATACAGTTCACTGTGCCAGGTGTGTGCCAGCTACTGTATAATGTTTTGCATTTAATCAAAAAGTTCCAATTGTGTCTCATCTGACCAAAAATGTTGTGCCTAATGTTTGCGTTATTAGTTAAATGTTTTCTTGCAAATTCCATATGGGATTTGAGATTTTTTCCAGTAATGTCTTCATTAGTACCACTCTGTCAGGATAGCTGTGTGGAGTGACGGATATTGTTGACTCGTGGACATTTTCTTCATCTCAGCTACGGAATCCTGTAGCTTTTTTTGCTTTCCATTGGCCTCATGCTGGCTTCTTTTACCAGTTATCTCTTTGGCCAGGTGCTCAGTTTGGAGGGAGAACATTATCTACTGTAGGTAGCCAGAATAGTACTTTACACTTTCATGTTTGACTTCATCAGGCTTGAGATCTTCAGTGCCTTAGGATTTTTATGCACCCTCGTCCTGATCTTTCAGGGGAGACACTATTATTACAACCAGAAAGAGGCCACTCATATATTTCTATGACTTACAGGTATTTAAGTAATTTTGTGCACCTGGACTAATTTATATTTCACAAATAAAATGGTGAATACTTACATACTGTACTGTATGCAATCAATGTGCTTTTGATTTGTCTTTGCAGGTTTTGTAAAAAAGTGTTTACATCATTGATATTGTAGTTCAATAGGACGTTATTGGAAAGGGAGCATACTTTTGGAAGACACTGTATACTATGTACATATAATACACCCATAAACAGTGAAGCTGTCCATTCTTCCCACAGTACATCTGTTGCCATGGCATGGATATCCTCCTTTTGCATAACTACAGTATCTGTATCAGGCCCTGCAAGATGTACAAACCAAACTATTAGATACAAATGTATTTCAGTGACTTCCAGCTCACAGGAGGGAAAAAAGTACAGTCGCCTGGAAAAGAAAAAGAGAGCTGGAGTGAATGATTAAATGGAATTGTGACTTTTTACCCTTTAGCTCCAAAAAGGGCATTTTTTGATAAATGTGGAAGCTCATTTTTAGCTACAGTACACCTGTAAAGTAAAAATAATTTGTTTCAGAGAAGTCTGGATGTGTATGATAGTGTAGAGGGCAGTTTAAAGAATGAGGGTGCTTCAGTTTTGCAGTCTGTCTGGGTGATATCTGGCAAAGTGTGCTCTTTATGCTGTGTGGAGGTTTCTATCTGTCCTGCTCATTTCTCTCTCTGCTCTTCATTTTTCACTTTG